GGCTGCCACATCTCTAGCCCCAGCCCAGCTATCATGAGCTGCTGCAGCAACCACCTCTCTGGCCCCAACCCCGCTACCCCCCCTGCCACGTCCCCAGCCTGCTACTGGAGCTGCCGCAGCCTTTGCTGTGCTACTGGGGCTTTGTCACCAGTCCCTGCCCCAGCGCCAGCCCTCTTGGCACTGGGTCTCCCAGCCAGGACTCTCTGGTCCAGGAACACCCGTGGTCCTGCCAGACAATGGATGTTGCCGGATGAGGAAGTCCCAGTTTTGGGAGAACCCCCCCTGCCACGTCCCCAGCCTGCTACTGGAGCTGCCGCAGCCTTTGCTGTGCTACTGGGGCTTTGTCACCAGTCCCTGCCCCAGCGCCAGCCCTCTTGGCACTGGGTCTCCCAGCCAGGACTCTCTGGTCCAGGAACACCCGTGGTCCTGCCAGACAATGGATGTTGCCGGATGAGGAAGTCCCAGTTTTGGGAGATCCAACCCATAGGAAGATTGTTCCATGGAAGTCAAGGGGAGCAGCAGCCCGCCCTGTAATCTAAGGAATGATGAAAATCCTCAAAGCCGTTTTCCTTCCAGTAAAGAAAGGGCATTCGAGTTTTAAGCACCTCAAAATTAAATATTCCCAGCTGCACCACAGTTTGGAGAAGCCACAGCGAGTAAAGAGTCACGGTGCTTCAGACTGTAGATGCAGTTGGTAGGTGGAAGCAAGTGGTGCTTTCCATTAAAGAAAGCTCTTCTCCCTATCTAGATATTTTACTCCTTGGCACAGCTAATAATTTGATCATTTTTTAAACACAAACTGGGTGTGCTCATTTCTCAGAGGAACACTGGGATCTGAACATTGGGAACAAACAGATTTGGGAGGACCGGTGGCCGGGGCAAAGAGTTCCTTTCTAAGTGCTTTGCCAAGTTAGGGCTGTGGATGGTTTTCCCCACTTGTGGCCTCCAGATCTTTATGATGAGTGGGCTGCAACATACACCCAGATCCACTTCTGCCAGAACAAAGCTGCTACTTTCCCCATGAGTCATACGAGGCAGAAGGTGTGTACCCAGCATTCCATCCCTCGCCTGGGTTAAAACTTTCTCCAGGTCCAATGCTCCTGATGTGAAAAAAGTGTATACAAGAATTCTGAAGGGTGGGCAGTCCCATGGTGTGCTCATTTGCATTTTGATACCCAGAATGCCCCTTTCGCTATGCTGTACTCCCACTTGTGTCATTTCCTCATCTTGATATTGTATGAAGAGAGGAGACACAACAGGGAGCCAATCTTCCCCATGTCGCACTGATAGTCAGGCACGCTGGAACAAATTTTATAGTGGGGGTGCTGAGAGCCATTGAACCAAATGGTACACCCTGTGTATAATGGAAACCACTTCAAGGCAGGGGGTGCTGTGCCATCCCTCCCCCCCCCCACACACACACTAGTTCCAACACCTAGGACTGATATTTTCAGAGGAAAAACATCGTGCTTATCACAGTCAACCTGAAGTGTTCAAAACTGGCCATTTTTTAAAACTTATAAAAAAGGGAGACTAATTCCTATAATGGAACACGGGTTTCAACCTTACCTATGGTGTGAGATTCTCAGCTCTAATGAGCCTCACAACATCTCTGTCTTTGCAGTTTTGAAAGAAAAGATCCTTTTTCCCTCTTCCAGGATTCATCAAGACCAAGAGCTTAGCAGGATTCACAAAAGAACTGTGCATTTTTTATGGATAATGAGAATCACTAGATGACCAACAGTAACAACCAATATACAACAAACAAAGATTAAGCCGCTAACGCTTTGGAGCATAAATCAACCTCTAACGGAGCATGTGTTAGGAAGGTTTCCGTACATTAGGTTGCCCCATAACTGCCTATTTCAGGGTTTCTTGCACCTTTCCTTGAACATTTGGCACTGACACTAGGGCTAGGTCTACACTGCAGTTATTTCGGAATAAGCTGTTCCAGAATAGTTATTCCGAAATACCTTATTTCGAAATATCATGTCTACATTTCAGGGAAGC